GATGAGGTGAAAAGATAATCCAGTTTGTGTGTGTATGTGTGTGTTCTCCCTTTTCACTTTAGCTCTGTTGACATTTTCGACATCACTGCTTTGCTGGCATGTCTCCTCGAATACCTGCAGGTCATCAAACCAAAGTGAAAATCAGATTTAAACAAATGCGTCGGGAAAGTTTGGCGTGGTATAAGAAAGGCCCTAAAGTTTGGAAGCAAGACAAGTTCAAAAACAAACATCTGAATGCCGCGTCGATGCCTGTTACACTTTGCCTGTCGCAGCGCTGAGCAGAGACCCTTTGCAGCATTTAAATGCTTTAAATAGGTTGACAGCAACAAAGAGATGACAGCTCTTCAGAATATCATTAATTAATTCACACCGCATTTCTTTTCCAGCTGCAGTTTACCGATAACTAATATTTTCGCGACAGGTTGGGGGTGGCAACGTCGAACTTTGAGCCAAGCAATAAGTGTCACTTTTTAATTTTTTTATTTGATGCGGCTTGTTTTTCAAGTTGAATATTTATAAGCTACATCTTGTTGCAGTCTCACCTCAAACAAGATACTACGTTCCAATTATTACACTCTATTTTAACAGTTTAACATATGTGTGCATGTTTCATTTTCCAGAGATTTTTAATTCTCTACCTTTTATTCCTAGACAGATCTTAAAGGTAAATTGCACCAGYAACTAGTTGCTTTCATTTAGAAATACTACATGCTTTAATTGGAAACACTCCTTTTCTTATATTTTAGTCACGTCAGAATGTGCTTRTATCCATCTATATGGGGGAAAATGACCAACTGCCGCACAAATGAGCTTTAAGTTGTCATCTAGTCCTTGAAACATGCACCTGCCACCCTGTAAAYCTGTAAACCGAGGAACCGTGTGCTCCTTAAGTCTGCACTTTGTATTGATTATTGTAATTACACACTATTACAGTTCTATTATCTGCGCTGACTGTCTTTAATTACAGCAGAGAGCTTGAAGAAGAGTGAAGGTGGGGCCGGGGGGAGGCAGCGAAAAGCGAGAGGAACACGGCACACGGACTGACAGATGAAGTGAGACGCTGCGCCCAACTAATTAAAACCGAAACTTTTTTTTTTTGTTTCAACGAGTTGACAGGGAATGAATTTGGCAGGGAATTAATCTGTCTGCAGGGAACACAATGACGAGTCACACACACACACACACACACACACACACACACACACAC